AAGCATAAGATAAGAAACTTTTTGAATTTTTTGTGTATTCTGACACCCCACTCCCAATGTATAACAGAAAAACTATTCATTATGCTAAAAGTGACAATCAGGGTAAAATGGCTGAAAAACCTTGGCAGCCTCTACAGAAGAGGATCCAACTGTCGAAGATTCCAAAGCGAGACTAACAATTTTAGCATGCACAGTTGCTGCAGGAATGTACAAGTGTAAACTTTTCGTAATCAGAAAAAATACACGACCTCGAGAATGAGTAAAGATAGTGTCTGTTATGTATCATTCAAATAAAAGAACATGATTGACACAAGTGTTAATGAATGATTGATCTGAAAATCATTTCATACCTGAGGCTCGGCAACATTTGAATTTGGTTGGTTTACATGATGTCGCAAAAATTGTCGTGATTGTGGGAAACTGTTCAGCTGATACTTCAGTTAACCCTTTGAGGCCAGAGCTTTGGTAGCAGTAAAAGCTACCAAAGGACGGGGAATCTTGAACCAAATGCTTTCCCCCTTTTGAGAAATCACCTATTTGCAACAAAGATTCTTGTGTGTAGTTTAATGGATTCTCAGAGGGGTGTATCTATGTCGTAAAAGAAAGACCTTTGAAAGAGATAAGTGGTTAAAACCCCAGGGACGTCAAACTTGACATTTCACCCCAATTTCCAGCCTGGAAAATGGGGGAAAAAGACATGGCCACTAAAGTGGACAACCCCGTCTTTTCAAAGAGAGGACTCTGTGGCCACTAATGGCCATCCCGTCTTCAAAAGGTTGAAGTCTAAGTGAAAGATAATGTGTCCATATTATTCTTTCCTCCAAATTGTACATCCATCCTTCAGCCTATTGATATTGGAATGGTGTGTGCGCTGAAGTGCAAATATAAAGTAGCATTTTAAAAATTAATTTTAAATTTCTTGAATAAGGGCAAGAATTTTTCAAATACTTTAGGATAAAATCTGCTGTGTGGAGAATCACAAGATCGTGGGAGGATGTGTTTCCAGATGTTTTAAAAAAATGCTTGGCATAATTTATGACCAGCTACTATATTTTATGGTAAGGATGATGAAGAAGATAGTTGTGAATTTAAAGGTTTTTGGACACTGCAAACCAAAGGTGAAATTTTACAATTAATGAATTTTGTAAAGAAATGTGGAGAAGCAGTAATAAATAAAGATGGTACAGTCAAAAGTCGTTAATCCGGACTCGTCGGGACTTCGGCTATTCCGGATTTTCGATTTTTCCGGATTATAGATCATCATTTTAAATCTGGTAAGATGGCATGCAGAAATTATAAAATTAAAAATATGAAACCGTAATTTATGAAATAAAGAAGAATTATGATCTAAAGGGTATCAAAATTTATTAAAAAAAAAGCTTAATATTTATTTGTTTACTTTATTAAACATTTCTTTCAATGTAAGTTGTTTAAGTTGCTTCGTTTTATGTGATAATACTTTCTCTTTAATTCTATAAGACATAATTTCTTGTTCAGTTACAAAGTTCCGCTGTTCAAGTCCCGTAATTACTGTGTCGAGAATACCAACTAATTTGTCAATAGAAATTTTTTCGTTTTCAATAACCTCTGTGTCACTCACTTTGCTATCAGAAGCGAATTATAATGACAAGGAATTTGATTTAAATCATATCGAAGACGGAGTACATCGAGATGAAATACTACTTTTAGTAAGGAATTATAAGCCAAATAAAATAAAAACATCTGCCCTGAAGATAAGGATAGTGCTGACAGATCAACTTCCAATTCATTGTGCGCTGCAGCGGTTCCCCACCCCCACCCCCCGGCCGCAGAGCAGCGTGAAATTGATAAACAGATTTCGGAATGGTTAGAGAAACAAATGATATGCCTTTATCCATTTTTTGCAGCAATTCCACTTTTTGTTTAATGCATTTCGAAACATACTTTCTCTTTGTAGATCCTTTACATATTAATAAATATATATCAGAAATTCTATTTGACGTAATCAAAAGTTCAAGCTTACTTTTATAAAATTGCTCTAACAGTTCTGCAAAAAATAATAAGCCGGATCCGATTCGAAGATTAAGGAACAACGCAATCTGCAACATTAACTGAATTAGATAACTTTAGCTTAGCTTATACCATCCGTTATACATTAAACGCGCATTCGTAAACATATTTTGCACATGCGCATATTTGCAGCCGTAAAGGTCTTGCACACATGCGTCAATGCGGCCCATATGCAGAAAGTTTGTAGCTTTGAGGTCCGGATTATGGGTGTCTGAATTAACGACTGTTGACTGTATAACTGAAGTTTTCATTGCGATGACAATGCCTCAATCATCAATTCGCTAATGGACAGCAAAATCTGTAGTATTGTTCTAGATCCAGAATTTAGTGAAGAATGTGACAGTGAGGTTATTGAAAACAAAAAAATTCAATTCACAAGTTAGTTGGAATTCTTGATATAGTAATTACAGAATTCAAGAGAGAATATTAGCATGAAAAATGAAGCAACTTAAATAACTTACATTGAAGGAAATGTTTAATAAAGCAAAGAAATAAATATTAGGCTTTTTTTGTAAATTTTGATACCCTTTAGATCATAAATGCTTTATTATTTCATAAATTATGATTTCATATTTTTAATTTTATAATTTCTACATGCCGTCTTACTAGATTTAAACTGATGATCTAATTCTATCATCTGGAAAAATCCCAAATCTGGAGTTGTGACAGTCCCAACGAGTCCAGAGCGTTCACTTCGTACTGTATTTATTGCATCAGAATCATATTGTAACCAGTTTAATAAATTGAATCATGTTATACAGCAAATTTAGATCAATTTGAGTTTTTTTTAAAATGATGCCGCGGCATAGCACAAAAGCCTGTCTAAAACTCCTGTTTTTTTATATTTCGGTGTTGGCAGCTATGGCTGCCCAGCCGGTATAGTGGTTAGGGAAGCCTGACTTTGATACTGAATGGCCCAGGTTAGAATCCTGGAGAAGGCATGGATGTGAAAATTGTCTGTCCCTTCATAGGAGGCAAAGGGGACCCACCTATGAGGTGCCTCTATAATGAAGAGACCATCACATCTGGCCTTAGGAGTGGCCAATGCTGGCATAGGCAAGTGCCCGCCATTGGGGGAGGGGGAAGATGGCAGCTTTGGTTTTGGATTAGACTGCAAGAGTTGAAAATTTTTTGGGGGGGAAGAGATAGTTTGACAAAAACATTTTGTTTGCTGATGTTTTCTTCTACAAGAAACCAGTTTGACTGCTAGAGGGACAAACAACATTGCAGAGGATCATGGAAAAGAAATAACATATTGTAGAACTAAAGGTATATAGAGTGAAACCTGTTATGGTGAGCACCTTCTGTAGGCAATTTTTCTTAAAGTCCGTTTTTTAAGCATCATTGTCAGTCATATTATCATAGCCATCCACTATCGTGAAAGGCTACAATCTTTTGTAATTTTAATGGCAATCTTGTAGAGGTTTTACAATATTTGATAGGCCATAATCATCTTTAGTAAGAGCGTGACTATCTGGCATTCAACTGACTGAAAACCTGAAGTAAGCAGCATATTTTAGAATTTTAGGAAAATTTTCTACCCTGAAAAATTTAGTAAATAAGAAAAAGCCACCATACGTGACTTTGTAAACGAATAAAAAATAGCAATGTAACAGGCAATATTATGATAAGTGATTTAGTTTTTTAGGTGGTATATTCTAAATTTGAATGACCTTCTTATCTAACTAATGAATAATCTGTTTATTTAAACTTCTGCCAGATGATTGGTGACATTTCCACCAAATTTCACATTTAGCGGGATTTCATAATTGGATCAGATGTTTCACTTTAATGCTTAAGGCATGTCTGCTTTTATATTTCTTTACATGTAAGCTCATGATATTCCAGCTGTAACAAATAAGATGATTGTTTTTAGAAGTTTAAAAGTTTAGCAGAAATTTTTGAAATTTATTTGGCTTTTCTAACGTGAATTCCACTTTTTTATATGCTTAACTTTTCATAGTTTTCACATATCTAAAATTCAACATTTCCTGGGCTTTCCAAGTCAAACTTTTACTGTATTTTGGGTGTTAAATATGTCAATACATATGGAAGCAAAGCTATTGTATTCTAAAAAAAAAAAAAAAAAAAAAAAGTTCACATAATGTACTATATTTTAAGAGAAAGTATTCATATAATGTTACTGTTTTAAACTTTAGGTTAAGTGTATTGTTGAGTTATAGTTCTTTAAGGGTATTATGAATGTATAAACTACTGGAAAACTCAGGAAGTGTTGATTGCTGGTTATATAAAAATTCTATATAGTTGAGTGTATAAAAAAGGAATTCATGTTGAAAAATCTAAAAGAGTGGAAGACATTTTTGGTCTAAAATTATAAAATCAGTCATCTTGTTTAGGAAACTTGAATATCAAAAGGCCTACATTTAAAGTTATATAAAATTTTGAAGGCAGAATGCATTTCGGACATAAAAGCCAATGTATTTCATAGCCTTAATGCTTATGAAATCCTCCCACCAAACATAAAAATTGGCAGGGATATCACCAAACTTGCACCAGTCATTCAAGCAGAAATTTAAAGGAACAGATTGTTCTTAATTTAAGACCTTATTTCCATTCAAGCATTTACTGATCTTTAGCAGCGAAATGTCATCAGTTGTGATTACTTTCCAGATTTTCATATAGAACTGAAATGCAGCAATTGTTACTCATCAGTCACTGATCACTTGGCAGAGTGATCACTAAAGACCCAATATTTTGCTTTGTCATCGATCAAATCAAGATGGTGGCAGTCTTGTTGTCATTGAACAGAAATAATTCGGTGTGCCACGATAACTGTGATCTATAGGAAATCAACTCAATTTGCTTGAGAAATGATTTTTATAATAATAATATAAGTTATCAAAGTTGTCATTTATAGGCTCGTAGAAACTATTAAAATCGGACCTGCAGCCATCTGCTAGTGGCTACTGTTGATGAAATATAGGTAAGTGTAATCAAATATATTTGTAATTCTTAAATTGTAGTTTATTTCACATTTACTGTTTTGTTATTTCTGGTTTGTTTTTACAGTTTTTAGCCTTAAGAGTGTATATTATTTAGATATCATAGTTGCACATTTCCTCATTATGACATCTGCAGTTTATTTGTGATGAAATTCATCCTGTCAATTTTTGTAAGAATAATCAATAATCAGTAGTGCTTCATATGTTAAAAAAATGTCATATTCTGACTGAATCATATTGCATTTTCAGGGGTGGAGAAAGCATAAATTGTTATTTTATTTTTAAAATCATATGAAATATTTGCATTTCATATTCACTGAACTTCTTCCTTATGTCAACATATAAAATTCCATCCAATATGTTTATATATATACTTTTAGAATCAAAATTTGTTTTGAAATTATCTATGAAATGAATAAATGATAACTGATTCCCTTGCTTATGAAAATGGAGTGTACCAAATGATGTGGGCACAGCACCTTCAGCTTATTGATTTTAAAGTAAATTTTTGATAATTCAATTTGATATTTTTTAGAGTCTATATGTTAAGTATTTGCCAAGGTGGAAGAGCACACTTCTCAGAAATGTATGTATATACAAAATTGATACTGAAGTTGTAAACAACGATCATTATAAACTTGTCCCATAGTATATAGTTACTGATAGCTTGATTGTAATAGCCTTTTAGTTCCTACTGTCATCGGCTGTTTAGTGTTTCTTTTAACATTATTTTACACTGCAAACATTTAAATTCACAGTTCATATGCATGACAGCAATAAAGTTCAAAAAGGTATATGCAGAAACATAGCTACCACCTTTATTTCACAGAAATTAATACTTGTATAGGAGTTGGAGATAACGTGCAAAAATTATAATTTTTTGTTAACGAGTGTTGATCTTCAGTTGTTATTACTCTTTCTTGGACAATATCCAGGAGAGTTTGTCAATGTCCAGAAGTCATGTGCCCGATTTGTTGAGGTGGTGAGCGATCGGATGGATGGAAATGGGAATGTTGCAATCTGATGCTGCTACACATCTCAATATCTCTTGTAGTGTGGCCCACCAACTATTATGGAATCAGTTTGAATCTGAGGATTCTGTGTCTAGAAGACATGAAGATATGTTCCAGGCAGACCTAGAGTTACAGCACCTGTAGGAAACTGTTATTTAGCTCTTTCGGCCTGAACGAGGAGTAACATTATTGTGCTTCAGCTAATGGCAGGCGGAAACAAGTGGTGGCAATAGGAACAAGAATCTCAGCTACTACAGTGTGCAGACGCCTACACAATACAGGTCTGTATGCAGGGCAACCAGTTGTTTGTGTCCCCTTGACCTGAGGACTTTTTTGTTCTATGTTGCATTCTCAAATTAGACACAAAAAACCTGCTGTTCCTTAACTTTTAGAGGTCAGTGTATTTTGGAAAAAATTTTATTTGTAGACAGTTTTGAGAAAATGATGTGAAACATGATGCATTAGAAATATTTCATAAACAGCAGTTTTTCTTCTCCCTCCTGAATTATTGAAATATTCTATAAGTAGGTGATCGTATTGGTCATAAAAATGTTTAAAATAAAAAAAGGTGCCTTTACGAATATCTCCTATGAATAGTTTATTAAAATTTGAATGATGTTCTGAATATTGTCTTAAAAATTTCAAGGAAAGAATACATTACTAACTTCCATAAAAGTCTTCCCCGTATAACTCATTAGTAAGGTTTTCCTATTGTACGTCTGCGTTCTACAAATATTGTGTAGCAAAATAATAATAATTTCGCTATTGATGCCCAGTGTGCTTATATTAGTTATAAAGGAAAATTTGCTTTGAATATTCAATGATAGAGAGCTTTCAGAGGTGAAAGTGCCTTTTATTTTTCTTTTTTTACAATTCTTCCCAGGGGTTTAATTACAGAATCTACAACTTGTCAGGCCCCATCAAGAGACAACTTTTTATGACAACTGGATGAAGCTGCACAGTATATTGCAGTTGAATGCCTGTCAACAAATGAGTATCTGATTTTAGTCAATCACTTTATGTTGATATTTTTATGTAAATTTCCAATACACCATATACATAAACATGATTTTAGCAGAATAATGAAATTTTTATTGAATCAGCTCAGAAAATTATAGCATCGTATTATTAAATTTGGTATTAATTTTAGCTTGTGTGTTTTGATAATTTTAAATATCTGTTTCGTTAGTTTTCTTTTCTAAGGTAAGTTTATTTGAATATGAGAATTATGCATTGTTTCCATTTACAGTTATTCAGGGGGAAATTTCTTCATTTTAAATGAAGCTAAATATTAGCTTTTTTGTAGGCTATTGCGTCGTAGTAAAGGAATTAATTTAACTGTGCATTACTATAGGAAACATTTATGCTTAAATCAGACATTTCTTTTACATAGCTTTGTATCTGCTTCATTATTTTCTATGTTTTGTTTATTTCTATGGAACCAGCAAAATTCAATGTAAAGTAAATAAGAAAGAAATTTACAGTTTCCATCAATAATGGATCAGAGTAAGGTTTAGTATTTTATCCATGCAGGAGCTGAATTTATACACACTGTTGAATGTTCAGTGATGTATAACTTTCTTGATGTGTTATCATAAAACCACATTTCAAAAATTCAATAAACCAAGACCTGAAAGAGTAGGGAAAATGAATCAACTAATAAAAACTTAAGGTCATTTAAATAGGTGAATACTAATTTTGAATTTTGTATTTGAATGTTCAGACATTTTTGGTTGTACTTTTTTTGTTGAAGCTGTACTGTAATTTGACATTTCAAAGCAGATACTCCATTTAATGTGACAAAGTTGATTTTTAGATTGTGTTTAAAAATTTGCATAATATTCATATTTTAAGTTTTTTTATGTTTTTTTTTTTTTATATATATAGCTTAGGTAAGTGATGCTAAAATGGAAATTTTAGACATTGTGGATAGTACTCACAGCTGTTTGAAGTGGAAAATAAGTGCTTGAAGAGAAGTCTTTACATCTTGCTAAATATCAGCCACTACCTCGGTTGGAGTGATATGGTAGTTGCTCGTTGTTGGCAACAGTGGATCACAGAAGGCACACCTCTCACCAATAGAGCACATTTGGGACATGTTTGGAAAGCATCTGCATCCATCCTGAAATACTGGTGAATTAACTGCCCAGTGGCAAAGATTATAGCATAATCTTCCTCAGAGGGTCATAGGTGACCTACTTGATTCTTTGCTACACACTGTGTTTCGGCATGTATAGCTGCAGAGGTGGCTATATTTCTTACTGATTTGTAACCTTTTTCATTCCATAACTTCTTAATAAAACAATCTTTTATTCTGAATTTGTAATCATTTGTTTATCTCCTCATGCATTACATACATGTTAAGTTTCGTGATAGTAGTTCGTTTCCTTATGGGTGCATATATTTTTTTCTGACAGTGTATTTCATGCAATTTAACTAGATCTTCTGTATGTATATTTATGTTTCTGTTTTCAAAGTTGTATGTATTTTTCTCCGTGCCTTATATCAATATTTCATGAAATTAAATGGAATTAAAAAATGTAGTGAATTTTTATTATATAGTTTAATTAACGACAGATTTTTTTAATACATAGGAGACAGTGTAATTGGGATAACCTGTCATCTTAAATCTTATGATTATCCTTGTTTAAAAAAAAAAATATGCACAATGAATATAAGCAAGTACAGCTCACATTTTTATAAAATTTTAACGATGTATAGTTAAATAATGTAGCTAGATAATGATTGTGTCTTTGACATCACAGTAATTATTTCTGACTTTGAAATCACAGTAATTTTTTCTTTGAAAAAAGTATGAAAAACTCATGTAATTTATGCAAGTCATTTTAAAAATTGTGCTTTATACATTTTACTCATACTACAATTCTTATTATTTTGTGTTTGTACAGGTTCATTTATTCTTGAATTTCTTGAATATTTTTTATTTCTTTTCTTCCCCCCCCTTGCCTTCTTATGCTTTTTCTTTCCTAAATTTGGTGACTTGGGATGTTGATATGCCTTTAGACTTTGTCGATGCTGCAAACATATAGCTTTATCATCAACTGTCATTTGTAATATGTTAATTGTGTAAATAAAATATAAAAAAATATTTTTAATGATCTTTGTTATCGAAACTTGAGCATATCAGATCTTATTTACTGATATCTCATAGTAACTGTTTTAAAAAATGAGAAGTAAAGAAACTAAAACATTTATCAATCAAAAGTAATGCTGTAACAATATTTACATTTTTAGGTTAAATAAATTACATTCTATCTGCCCATGAGTAAAGGCCCGTTTCCACTACTGCGTATGCATTGCGGTGCGTATGTGTTTCTCCAATCAGCGAGTGAATGCACTTTGATTGACATCTGCAATCCAGTCGGTGTGCGGTGACGGATAACATACGGATGGAGTTCAACAATGTTCAACTTCTATCCGTATGTCTGCGGATGTGTTGGGGGTCACGTGGTGAAAAAGGAGTAATAATGTGTAGTCATAAAAAATTAATGGCAGCAGAAGAGCGATGAACGCTCGCTTAGGAAAAGAACGTTTTGCTAAAAAATACTTATTTCTGAATAACCATTATAGCGAGAAATCTGCGTTCTGAAAAAGATAGCAATCAGCTGAATTTAGTTTAAAAAAAATAAGAAAAACAAGATAACTGCAACTACAGTACTTGTTCGTTCAAGAAAATCAGCGGCAAAAATTATAATTCCAAGTCCATGAAATGGCAAAATTTGTTCTGATAATCATTTCCTAGTTCTGCATACTCATTTAGCTTTAATGAAAATGAATGTCTGACTATATAAAACTGCTATAGCAAATTAGATATGATTAAAAGATTTGCTATTTTTTTCTTTTGAAACAGGTAAAAACTAAAAACGTTAATTATAAATTAAATTTGATAGCCTTTTAAAAATACTCCAGTTCATTGAAGAGTATGTTAAATTTGTATCACTGAAATAGGGACCAAAAAACTCAAGTTTTAAGAATTGATTTACTTGATGATGTATATAAGCCAAAATATGCATATGGCTCAAGTGCAATCCTAGCTTAGTGGTAAAGCTGATGGTAACGGTGATTACCTTTTGGAGTCGTGAGTTCGAATCCCATACGCTTTTTGCACCCTGTCTGCAACTTTCTTAGCTTTTTATTCCAATTTGATCTATATTCGTGTTTTATAGTTTATTTCTATTATTATATGCATTAAATATATTGTTTTATTTATGCTCTTATTTATTTAAATTTTTCCTGCAAAAAAGTTTGAAAATTATATAATACTAATTTAAAGCATATCTTGTACATATATATTTTAATTTAACAAACATTCTCTATTCGTAAAAAGCAAATTTAAAGTTAATTAAATTTAAATGAAATTTAATGCAAACAAAGAAATGATTAATTATTGCTGCGAAACTAATCTACAATATCATTTAAATTCTGAGAGCATATGTAAATCAAGTGCAAGTATCAAAATCCATGAATAAATATATAATTCCAAAAATTTAATTAATCCTAAAAAAATAATAAAAATGCCAAGGAAAATAGGATAATTAATCCTAAAAAATTATAAAATGCATAAGTGAATAATAGGATAGATTATTAATCCTAAAAAATTTATAAAAATGCATAAATGAATAATATGAATAGATTTAATACTAAAAAATTTATAAAAATGCATAAGTGAATAATAGGATAAATAAATTTTTGGAATTTATTCATGGATTTTGATACTTGCACTTGGTTTACATATGCTTTCAGAATGTAAATGATATTGTATATTAGTTCGCAGCAATAATTAATCATTTATTTGTTTGCATTAAATTTCATTTAAATTTAATTAACTTTAAATTTGCTTTTTACGAATAGAAAATGTTTGTTAAATTCAAATTTCATTCCTTGCAGCAATGGCGCAAGAGAATTATTTAAATTTAATTTATTTTGAAACCCTGCAGATATATATATATTTTTTCATTTCACTTTTATGTGAATGTATATACATGTGCTCAGACTTTGGGATGTTTACAACTCTAAACTTTCATTCCAATTAACATGAGACAGTATTAATGCCCTAAACATTTTTTTTAAGCAAAAAATTACTATAATAATTGCTTTTAAATTCAGTCCTCTCCAGCAGAAGCGCAGGAATTAATTAATTAAATACTTCCATTTTCTTTACCATTAATTAATTAAATATTTCCTTTACCTATGTGTGTATATATAAAGAGAAAAATCTTATTTTTATAACTTCTTCTATAAAAAGAGATATGAATTAAAAATTTTAAATTAAAAATAATATTTTATGGATTATGCATAAAATATAACTGCCCATAGTGCCATTTTAAAACAAACGAGATTTCTAATAAATTATCCAGCTATGACCCTGAAGAAATCGATGCTAAAATTTTATATATTATTACCTGCTTTCTGACCAAATTTGGGCATATTTTAAAGGTATACGATCTCCCATGGCAACCAGCGGTATACAAGCATAGCAAATTTTGTGTAAATATTGTGAACCTTTCTTTACAGTTGCTCTGTACTTTTAAAGTACCAACTATTTTTTAATTCCTTTAACTTTTTTTATTTTATTTATTTGCTTACTTTTTTTCACTAACAGTACATTTTAGTTTTAATAATATATATATTATTTCATAATATTTTAAGGCTTCTAGAAACACAATTTTTTTTTTTTAAATTTACTTCAGCTTCTATGGAATTAGTGATGCTCATAATATGCATTATAACCTTACTTATCTAAAAATTGCTACCCGTACTTTACTTTCGCAGTTCATAAGCAGAAATAAAAATTTCCAATAACATCTAATTTAGTAGACAAAACTTTCTCTGTTTTTACGTCAGGATCCATATCAAATCCAAAACAAACAAACTCGCTCAAGCGGGAAAAATTCAGATGTTCAGCGTCGTAACTCGTGAACTGCTTGTTTGGGTGCTAAAAATTACAGTGACACCTAGTGGCGGAAAATTGAAATATTTTACAGGATACGCGGCAAGTGGAAAACGCTTGTACGGATGCTGTAGGCGTGTCTTCAATTGACGCAACGCGTTCGTACACAGTAGTGGAAACAAGCCTTAAGACATTTGCTGTTAGAAGATTGTTCAGAAAGTTAAACAAATGTATCTGGAATTCTTATTCATTAATTCATTTTCATTGTGAACATAAGCTCATATATGTTCAAAAGTATGCAAGGAATCTGTCATGGATAGTATTTATCAGTTAATGCCATAAAACATAAGATTTTAATTTTAAAATATTATAAACTGAACTAACTTTATCGTAATAATTCTCAGCCTATGGTATAGATAACATTAGGTGTATGCCAAATTTCAGAATTTTTTTCTGGTGGGGGAGGGAAAGAAAAAAATCATTATTTTTTATGACAAAAAGGTTAAAGAAATGTTAGATAAATGCATTTAAGCAGCATTACTAGAAATGGGTATTGCAAAAACACCAAACATACGATTGTTGAGCCAACAATTTGCAGAATACACCATTGATTAATAAAAATAAACAATAAAAGCAACTAAAAACAAACTGTATTACTTATATAGTTTATGCAGAAAAAGTAATAGTAAGGCAAGAAAGTATCAATAAAGCACCATGCTGAAGAAGTCATCAAAATCATTCATCATCCCAAACTCCAGCATCAGTTGCACATCATGATTAAATATAGTGGGTCTTTTTCAACATGGCATCTGAATATATTACATAGGAATAGTTAAAATAAAGTTGCACTTTTTTATTTTACCTTTTTCAAAAGATCATAAGGATTCTGAATGAAGAATATTACAACAATAAAAACAATATAATTAAACAGCTTTGAGATCCTTTAATATGCATGTTTATTTTTCAATAGATTGTAAACCATTGTGTAATTAAAAATGCCAGCTAACTTCTTATGAAACCTGTCTGGGGAAATTATTATGGATATATATTAGATTTTTATTTGTAATTGGAGGTTACAATCTGAAAATCGTTTCTGAAACCATTACTATAGTACAAAGTCCATAATTCGGACTTGCTGGGACTTCGGCGATTCCGGATTATAGATCGTCAATTTAAATCTGGTAAGATGGCATGCAGAAATTATGCAATTAAAAATATGAAACCGTAATTTATGAAATAAAAAGCAATTATGATCTAAAGGGTATCGAATTTTATAATGTATGTGCATTCTCTACGCGCATGCGTAAAGTTTGTGGCTTTGAGGTCCAGATTATAGATCATTCTGGATAATGGACGTCTGGATTATGGACTTTGTACTGTATATTGAGTGATGTTATATTGTAAAGAG